GCAAGGCTCGCTGTTTTTCTTGGTTGTTCTTCCCGGGCGGTCTTTCGGGTGTCAGTGCTCGGTTCCTGGTGTGGTCGTCCAGTCCGGCGGCTTCTTTCTTTCTTTCTTTCTTTCTTTCTTTCTTTCTTTCTTTCTTTCTTTCTTTCTTTCTTTCTTTCTTTCTTTCTTTCTTTCTTTCTGCGGACTCGTCTGGTATGTGGGTTGTATCGACTTACAGCCCAGCTAACGTCCGTATGGCTCCGCTGCGCTTGCGTCACGTCACCACGTCCTTCTGTAGCTCCGCCTCTGTCTCCACCTCCATCGCTCCGCTTGCCTTCGCTCTGCCGCTCCAACTCTACGCCACTCCATCGCCGCCATTTCCACCGTCACCGCTGCTGTCGCTTCTACTGCTCCTGCCACACACCCCCGTACGGGGAGGGTGCCCCCTGCCACCTAAGGGCAGGTACCCATTCATCTACTCGCTTATATTAATTGCTTTCGAACCGCTGGGTACAAAGGGGGGAAATATAAGTATTTTTAAAAACAATTAAATCACACTGGTGATACATTGCGGAACTCTGTGGTAACCCATGAGGTGGGTCCCAAGAAGATGAGCTGGCATCTCCGATGGACCCACTGGACGAGAAAGGCGGAAGCCATCAAAGAGCTGCCTTTGAGAGACCTGTCGCGGGCTACAATGAGGTGCCATGGCCGATCATATCAAAGGCCACTGGAAGTATAACAGAATTAACAGGAAGGGACTGTCAATCTGCTGTGCAGATCATCCACCCATGCAACTAAAACTGGTCTGAAGCCAGACTGAAATGGGTCAGGAAAAGACGCCTCATTCAGAAATGCCTCATGCTGCTTTGCACCACCAGTCCAAATATGGGAAACTGGAAACCAGTCAATGATTGGCCAGTTCTTCCATAGACAAGGATGATCTTTTGTCAGAAGTGGCAGAACTAGTTTAAGCTCCTGAGGGAAATTAAGCTCCAGCATGGAGGTGTTATTTATCCTGGCTCTCTCCATTTCTCCTGGCAGGGCTTAATCAGCCATGATGGGCAAGCCTCCAATTCCCAGGTGGTGACTTACACAGCCCCAAGCAATCTGTCAACATCAGTCACGGTGAGCGAACCAAAATGATCCAAGCCATTGCAACAGATGGCTGCGGCTAGTGTTTCTGGTGCTCTGTAACTACACTAACTTCTTTGTCAGCAAAGAGGCTAGAAAAAGTGTCACAATCTGCTCTGGATGCTTCCTCCATGGGGCTGGATCTGGGATCTAACAGAACTTGCACCCCTGGAAAAGCTCTGTCAGATAAGGTACAGCTGATGCAGTCATGACTCAAGAGGCCTGTCTCTCCTCCTGTCTCCCTGTGTGCCACCTGTGCTCTTCTGATGGGCACTTTCGACTTGTTCCTTCACTAAAGGTGGCCTGCTTGGCATCTACTGGAGCCCATTCTTCCTCTGTAGTGGTTCCCAGCCCGTGGAACAGGCTTCTTAGTTAAGTGATGAAGCTGCCATTTCTTAAAGGTTTCAGGAGTTCTGAAAGACAGTTTTATTTGGGAGGGCATTTTCTTGGGGAGCATTAGTTAATTGCATTAGATTGTATTTTCAGGGCTCTTTTTGTAGAAAAAGCCCAGCAGGAACTCATTAGCATAACAGGCCACACCCAACACCAGAAACTCATTAGCATATTAGGCCACACCCCTGCCAGCACAGCACATTAGCACATTAGGCCGCACCCACATGTTATCAGAAGTGTGGTCATCCAGCCACACCCACCTTTTGCTTGTTATTCTGTTTACCTTGTTTGTTGTCAAAACCCAGGGCTTTTTTTGTAGCAGGAACTCCTTTGCATGTTAGGCCACACACCCCTAATGTAGCCAACCCTAATGAATTTCTGCTGTTGGGTGTGGCCTATTATGCTAATGAGTTCCTGCTGGGCGTGGCCAACTTGGGAGCCAGCCGGAACTCCGTTCCTGTGCGTTCCTGCCCAAAAATAGCCCTGGTATTTTGTATGTTTTTAAGGTGTGGAGTCTTGTGAGCAAAAATTCTACTTTGTGAGCTACTGGCATTAAAGTTGTGAGTGAGTGACTTGGCTACTGCATAAATAAGTTTGCTCTGGAGCTGTCCTTCCTGAGCAAAGACAAAAATGTGTGAGCCGGATGCTAAAAAAGCTGTGAGCTAGTTCACATTAACTCAGCTTACAGGGAATACTGGACTATTTAAATAAACGTACAAATAATCACTACCTCTTATGCTTGGAAATGAGCTGCATGGGTCCTAGTATACCATAAAGTTGGTACCCTCTGTGACGGAGGGGCCAGTCATTGGCGCATGATCCTAGTAACTGCCCCCAGCAGCCCTTCATTGCAGGCTGCTAGAAGAGAATGGACAGAGTCCCTCAGATCCTCTGCTGCCCTTTGTAGGCTTTGGGTATGGATTATTGTTCTGATGCTCTCGACACGTGCTATGAATACTATTGTTATTGTGCTGGGTGGCTTATTTATTGTCCAGAAATCAGCAGCAAAGAACACAGCGACGTGGAAGTGGTACCCTTAACCATTCTTTGCTCTGTCCCAGACCACAACAATCAAAATGCCTACATTTACGGGACCCAAGATTGCCTTCAGTCATTCAACCACCCAAAGTAGAGCCTATGTCCCCTTTTGCCTGTTATGCAGTTTCTAGGTTGGTAACTCAAAGCTTAGCAGTAACTGAGCAAGGACATACTCTCCACTGTGATACCACAGAACGGCTGGAGGGAAATCTTCAAAATTCTACATTTAATACATGCAATAAGAGCACAGCAAATCAAAACCTGCTCTCAGAAGACCTTTTGATCATTCATTACAGCTGAGTGTCCGACCAACCCCTTTGCTTACACATGAGAACTAGAAGAAAACATTAGTGGATGATTACAGTTCCACTGCTCTGAAGCTAGCCAGCACAACGTAAAGCCTGTAGGCCTTATCTCTGTATCTATTTGGGATCCTCAGGGGAGTTCCAAATGCCCCTGGTTGTCAGCTATTTCCCCAATCTTTGTGGAAGCATCCAAAGCCCATTGAAGACCATTGAAAGAGCCCGTGGAGTACAGCAGTTAAGAGGACTAGATCAAGGTTCAGAGACCCAGATTTCAATGCCCACTCTCCCATGAAACTCGCTGGGTAACCTTGGGCCAGTCACTCTCACGCAACTTCGCAGGGTTTTTGTGAGGATACTGTGGAGGAAGAGGGAACAATATATGGTGTCCTCCTTGCAGAAGGATAGGATAACGTATGTGCTAAATAAATACCTTAAAAGCTTTGAGGTGGAATGGGAAACCATTTGCTCCACTAAGCTGCACCCCCTCTCTGTGGATTCAAAAGTGCTAGATGGAGTTGTTGTCAATTTTCCCCCAGCCAGTCACAGCCAACCTGCTGTGTGGCACATCCTGGAGACAGGAAACAGTCAACTCACAGGGGGAGCGCGGCAGCAGCCCTCCTGTTCCCAGTCTACGGAATTGTAGGATGTCTCTCAGCAATGGCTCTTAGACTGCACGCTTCAATTAACCCAATGCTGCAGACCAAAAATAGATTCGGCACAGGGAATTCTCCAAAGGCCAAAGAAAGCAGAAGGGTTTTGTTATGTTTTTAAATGCCAGTTTCATACCAATTAACTTTATAAAGTCTCTGGTGAATGGAAACAGGCAAACTAAACGTGTCTGTAAAAGGTGTTCTGATCAGATCGCCTATGGGTTTTTAAAAAAATACTAAATGCAATGCAGCCATATGGTGGTGTAGGGGAAAGGAGGGGGGGAACTCAACCCAGGGTATGACTATGAACCAAATAGGGCTAAGCTAAACCATATATATGAAAAAGTACAAATATTTATTAAGGTGTACACGTGTTAAAACTTTCCTGATTAAAAATTGCTTTGTCTAAAATCAGACTGTAAAAGCTTGCCCACTTTACATACAAATGAGGGGTAAAAACTTTACAACCAAAGACCCTACGCGTTTCGGCCCCTAAGGGCCTTCCTCAGTGGTCACTATTATCTATATATTCTAGACACACATTCAAAGACCTGTTCCAGAATTCTAGTATCCATATAATTAAACCAGAGGTTGTTTCCTTGTCAACTTATAATTGGACTCCTGGTATTAGTGATGGGCCATAGGTGTAGCCTTATCACCACCACAACTTATTCTGGTAACAGCGATTTTGTAGGTCTGAATGTGCGTCCCTCCATCAAAGTGAAAATTCTATTTTAGGGGAAAGGGTCAATTCTGCTCTCCTCCAATTTTTTTTGCTGATCTTGCTCCCGCCTGAGCTGCTGTTTGCTGGGGGTGGTATACAAATGCATGTGTATATTTTCCTCTGCAAGGAGACTCTACCAAGGTGCATCACTATACAACTGGCAGGAGCCGGGTTGGGGGGACATAGAAGGGGCACCATCAGTGTGGTGGAATGGCCAGAAGAACCTACAGGGGTATGACATCACTTCTGGGGGTTCTCCAGAAGTGATGCAACACCGTCACACCAATGGCGACATGGCGACCCTAGCTCTGGCCTCCACTTGGGAGACCTACTCATGGATCTCCAAGCATCCTGGCTAGTTTGCTCCTTAGCAGATGCCATTCACGCAGTCATTCATTCTTTGTATTTATATCCTGCATTTTCTGACTCTGCCTCAGTAGATTCCACTTGTTTCGTCTCCCTGGAGTCAAATTTTAGAACGTAAGGTTCTTCGGACGGGGATCTGGGTTCTGGTGCTCTGTACAGCAAATCGATAGTGCTACACAAATGTATGATTATGATTATGATTACAAACATCCTAGATATAAACCAACCATGCAATGGGATTTGTTACATGTTTAACCACTGCCTTAAAAAAAAAAACAACCACCCTTAGCTTTCCCTATACAGAGATCTTCCCTCCCAAGAGAGAGCCTAGCAAATTCTGCACAGCTAAGCCTGCCGCAAGGCTTGGTTCTTTCAGTTTCTGTTAAGTGTGCTGCATTTCGCATGGCTTACCTATAAATCGAATAATTCTCCGAAGTAACGGATTCAGGTAACAGCATTCTCCTGTCAAAATAGTTTTCTCCTGGACAATCAGGCTTTCTCTGGTGGACTTGATGAAATACATGGATATCTCTCCAATAAAAATCTGCAGGAGGGAGCAGGGGGGGAAAGGGCACGTGAGAACCCGATAGATGTTGAAGGCCTGGTAGCCAAAAATGGTTTTTGCTGCTGGACTCCACTGCGTGCAGCTAAGAAAAAGAAATATCTTTTACCTTTAGCACATGTGAATACCCAAGGCTGATGAGAACAGAGTTGCCAACATGGCTGATGAGAACAGAGTTGCCAACATGGCTGATGAGAACGGAGTTGCCAACATGGCTGATGAGAACAGAGTTGCCAACATCCAGGTGGTGCCTGGAAATCTCCTGAAATTGCAACTGATCCCCATACTAAAGAGATCAGTTTCCCTAGATAAAATGACTGCTTTGGAAGGTGGACTCTATGGCATTACATATTACTGAGGCCCCTTCCCAAACCCCTCCCTCCCTCCCAAAGCACCACCCCCAAATTTCCAGGAACGTCCCAACCCAGAGTTGACAACCCTATCTGAGAGCCAGAATGGGCCCTTAGACAGGGATTCCCCCTGTACCCTTCCCTCCACCCCAACCCAATCACCATACGGAAGCAAATCACCTCGGCTGCCCAGCTCCATTGGCCTCCGGGGTAACCAGGGCCCCCAAAATGGTGCCCTCCTAAGGACTCTCCTCTTAGCAGCCCTCAGGGCTCTTTTTGTAGAAAAAGCCCAGCAGGACCTCATTAGCATAACAGGCCACACCCAACAGCAGGAACTCATTAGCATATTAGGCCACACCCCTGACAGCACAGCTCATTAGCCCATTAGGCCGCACCCCCATGTTACCAGAAGTGTGGTCATCCAGCCACACCCACCTTTTGCTTCTTATTCTGTTTATCTTGTTTGTTGTCAAAACCCAGGGCCTTTTTGTAGCAGGAACTCCTTTGCATGTTAGGCCACACACCCCTAATGTAGCCAATCCTAATGAGTTCCTGCTGTTGGGTGTGGCCTATTATGCTAATGAGTTCCTGCTGGGCGTGGCCAACTCAGGAGCCAGCCAGAACTCCGTTCCTGTGCGTTCCTGCCCCAAAAAAGCCCTGGCAGCCCTAAATATATCCAAATGAAGGACCACTATGCAAAGATTCCCCCTGCTGTTTCCCCGACACTACCCAAATCCAACTCCAGCATCACATACAAGCAATCACACGTTTTGCTTGAGACCCTGGCGAGCTGCTGCCAGTGACAGCAGACAAAATTGAGCTAGACGAACCAACGGCCTGACTCAGTACAAGGCAGCTTCCTGGTTCCCCTGAGTGTCCTTGCTGTCATCGCCTCGTGGTCAGCTCCTTTCACTTAGGTACCCTTACGGTGGCTTGCCACAAAGGCTTCAGTGCCATGGGATGCTAAGCCTGGATTCAGCATTAAGTGAGAATTTGTGTACCTACATATTTAATGCCCGAGTACACAAGTGGAATGAACTAAATTAATCAGGAGGAGGACGGCTTGGCGGCGAAGGAGAGCAGGCAGGCAAAGGAAGCGTATGAGGCTCCTCGTGAACCCATCAGCTAGAAACCGTGAAAGGAAGGTTAAAGACAAGCTGCAAATTACAGGCATTCTCCTCTTCAGGCAACCCATTTTCAAGGCTCGGCATTGCGACCAGGGCCGGCTCCAGCTTATTTTGCACCCTAGGCGAGGATCCCTTATGCCCCCCCCCCCGTACGCCCACCAATTTTCAAAAATAAATGCATTTTAGGAAGAATGTAAAACACAAATAATCAAGAAACTCCCAGAGTACGGGACTGGGTGCAGTTTGGTGCCCCTAAGGGCCATCCCGCTCTAGGCGATCGCCTAGTTTGCCTAGTGCGTGAGCCGGCCCTGATTGCGACTGAGGCTGGAATGAAGCCTCTCCCACTGAGTGGGACTGCCCAGACTGAAATGGGACTCCACGGCATTTTCTCAAAGGTCAGCCACGGAAGGCTGAATAAAACACCCAAGCAGAGATTTATCAATATTCATTTCTCCTCAGGCCTGGTGTAGTATAAAGTACAAAAAGGGAGGTCAGAATAAATAGGCCTGGTCTGTTTTTATAGACTTTGCAGTTTTGTTTATTTATTTATGAAAACGTTTATATCCCGACTTTCCTCTCAGTTTATGTTATGGTGGCTTACAAATAATAGTTAAAAACATCCCCAGTTAAAAGCAAAGACGACATAGCAAGCCCCAAATCCCCCCCCCTTAAAAGATGCCTGTTAGTCAAACCCCCTCAAAAGCCCTGGCAAACAGGCAGGTCTTAGAGCTCCTCCTGAAGATCTCCAAGGAGGAGGCCCCTTCACCTCCCCAGGGAACCCATTCCACAGAGCTGGAGCCAGCTGTGTCCTTCAAATATGTGAGTCCCGTGTCGTGAAGGGCTTTAAAGGTCATAATCAGCACGCCGAATTGAATTCGGAAACAGACTGGCTGCCAATGAAGCTTGTTTCAAAATAGGCAATATCTGTTCCTGGTAACTAGCCCCTGACAACATTCAGGCCGCTGCATTTCGGACCAGTTGTAGTTCCCAGGTTGTCTTCGAGGGTAGCCACACATACAGCATGCTGCAGTAATCTAACCATGACGTTACAGAAGCATGGATCATCATAGCCTGATCGGCTGAGTCTAGTAATGAGAAAGTTGGCCAATCAGATGCAGCCGATGGAAGGCACTCCCGGCCACCATGCCAATCTGCTTTGCAAACAGCCAAGCAAAATCCATGAGCACCCCCAAACTCTTAATCCGCTCTGGGAAAAGCCAGCTCTGCTCCATCTAGGACAAGTGAATCCAGTCCTTCTAGATTACCCGCCTTGCTAACCAGCATTACCTCTGTCTTGTCTAGATTCAGCTTCAGTTTGTTCTCCATTAGCCACCTTAGCTTCAAAGCACTGGTTCAGAACCAAGATGGATGTATCTGGAGGCCCAGATAATGAAATAAGGTACCCAGGGCCCCTTCAGGTTAGAAAACGGTGTGGGGAAGAACACCTGGACCATGCCTCTTCTCCAACTGGTGCATGCCTGACTTTTTCCTTTTGAGAAATATGAGAGCACAAACTGGGTGCTTAAAGCAAGGACTCAAGCAGGGAAATTTTGATTACATATAGAAGTATTAGACTACACACAGCTGATTAGAGCAAAAAAACAATCCGGTCAAAATGATGCAAAGCTGAATTGGCATATAGTCAAAGAATTGACACAACCGATATGGATCAAAGCATTCGATGGGAAGTCATCAAGTCCTGCTTCCAAATTCCCTCCCCATCTTTTTTTGCCTTAGGGGAAAACAAGACGTGTCTGAGAAAGTATTTTTTAAAGACTTATAATACAGAGTCAGAAGAAGAAGGGCATTCAGGTTTCAGATAATGTCCATGATAAATTGAAGGAAAGACTGATCCAGATGCTGCCTGAAGCAAGACTCTCCCCTACGGCATGCCCTGTGATTTGATAAGACCAGATGACATCATGCCAAAATGAAACATTAGCCTCTGATAAAATAATCTATCCGACCCCTGTTAATTATTTACCTGTGTCCTAAAGAACTGATGCATTTCTGAGTTTATCAGTTTAGAAGTTAACGCTGTGCCATGGTGAAAGTATAACCTTACAGCAATGGCATGGGATCCGAAGACCTGCCAAATTATTTTTCAGATTAACTGTATGTCATTGTATTGGTGGTTTTAAGGATTTAATGGTTTCTCTCTCTCTGTCTCTCTCTCTGTGTATGTATGGTTTAGTAAATGATCTTGTAGTGTTGAAGTGATCATATGACAATAATTCTGAATATACTAGAAAAATTGACAGGACCCCAGCGATGTACAGGGCGTGAGTCACAAAGTCCCTGGTTCACAGCTGACCTCAGCAAACACTCACAGGTGGTGCCAGACAAGTCACTCAAGTTGCCATTTGTTACATGTCGAACCCGTTCGTTCGTTCGTTCATTCATTCGTTCATTCATTCATTCATTCATTCTTAATTAAATTTATACCCCGCCCTCCCCAAACAGGCTCAGGGCGGCTAACAAAAGAGGCACATGCCAGAATTGAACAGCTAAAAACATAATAAAACAATCCATCACAACAAAGGGCCGGTGCTCTTGATAGTGGTTCTTATTGGTCCAAGATGGGGTTCCGTTGACCAGCCTAACCCATCAGTATAAGTTCCGGATAATATTACTGTCGTCCTTTCATGACCAGTTCTTCAGGTCATTTGGTCATCTTCCCAGGGCCAGCTCAAATCCTGATCGACTCCACCGTCAGAGTTGGCCGCTCGGTGGTAGTACAGTGGTGGCGGCGGCTCCTATGCAAAAGCCTGGCGGAAGAGCTCCGTCTTGCAAGCCCTGGGAGCTCGTTCCACCAGACAGGAGCTGACGCCGAAAAAGCCCTGGCCCTGGTTGCGGCCAACTTGATGTCCTTGGGGCCTGGAACAACCAATAGGTGTTGCGCCCCTGACCGTAGTGCTCTTGGGGGAACATACTTAAAAGAATCAGACCAGTGGTCACATTATAGCACCATGGATGCCCCTATGAAAACTTGAACTGTGGCTTAAACAAACACCTCTTTTACTGAAAGGTGGGGAAGAGGGGGGGAGAAAAAGGGATGTAAAACTGAGAGTTTTGAACAAAACAGTGTTAATAATAAAACAGTCTCAAAGTCAGGGTAAAAGAAGACGTAAGCTTTTTTTGTCTCTAGGCTCTAACTCACAAACTTCAGGAACATTTGGATATTTGGTGAAGACTCTTTTCATTTTGAGAAGCTGATTTTCCTCACAGCAGCAAGGAAAGTCCCATGAACAAAAAGCTCATGCCAGAAAATGGCCACTCTTCTGCTTGCTGCAGTCTTCCCAAGGAACTCCTCTTTCCTTTTTTTAAAAAATAATCCCTTACCACCTCAGGAAATAGGGTTGCCAAGTGTTATCTGTATCCGGGGCAGGGGACTCCTGGCTTGCTCCGGGAGTGCGCGCATGCGCCGCACGCACATCACCGGGCACGCTGGGGGCAGGGCCACGACCATCCGAGGGAAAACCATAGAGTTTTCCCTTGGATGACCGTGGCCCCGCCCCCAGCGTGCCTGGCGCCATCACGTCACTTCTGGGTGACGTGCGCGTCAGGGTGGGTTTTCCCCCAGGGCCCGATCCGCCGCTGGCGGGGAACGGGCCTCTGAGGTGGGGGTTTCCCTGCCCCCCGGGGGGACTTGGCAAGCCTATCAGGAAAGCACTTCCACTCCTCCCTCCCTCTTTTGGAGCAGACCAGTTTCCTTTGTCTCTTAGGGCTGTCAGGGGATGGGGGGCGAGGGTTGCCAGATCCATGTGGGGAAACTCCTGGAAATTTGGAGACAGAGCCCGGGGAGGACAGGGAGCTCAGTGGGGTACAAGGCCAGAGAGCCCACCCTCCAAAGCATCCGTTTTCTCCAGGGGAATTAATCTCTGTTGTCTGGAGACGAGCTGTAATTCTGGGGAGCCCCTGGTCCCACCCGGAGGCTGGAATTCCTCTTGTCCCGTTGACAAACAACCTCTCACTCAAACCTGTACAGAACGTCCTTCTGGAAGACAGTTTTTCCAGGCCAAGAGCCACCATGCAGGGGGAACGGGTCACAAACGCCATAATTATTAAATAATATTTTAAAGGCAGACCCATGCAAATAACACTGACCTAGCTAGGATTGCCAGTGTCCAGGTGGGGACTGGATATCTCCCAGAATCACAACTGATCTCTAGACTACACAAATCAGTTTTTTTGGGTAATTGTTTGTTTATTCGTTCCACTACTCCTGGGCAAAATGGCAGCTTTGGAAAATGGACTACATGGCATTCTATCCTACCCAGGCCCCTCCCCTCGCTAAACCCTACTCTCCGGGGCTCCACCTTCAAATCTCCAGGTATTTCCAAACCCAAATTTGGACCTACCCCACAACTCTCTCTGTAAGAATTATTCAGGTGATGAACTTGAAGCACTCTGAACAGTTAACATGTAGGGGAGGTCTTGTTCAACATAGGGCTGCCAAGTGGGGGCGGGGGGGGCGGATAAACCCCCGCTTTGGAGGCCCAATTCTCGCCGCCGTGGAATTAGGCCCTGGGGGGAACTCCGCCCCCCGAAGCGCAGCGTGGCTGCATCACTGGAGGTGACGCAACCACGTCAATCACGTTGGGGGCGTGGCCCCGATCATCGGAGGGAAAACTCTATGGTTTTCCCTCCGACGATCGGGGCCATGCCTTCAACGTGATCGAGGCTCCCCCGCCGGTAAGAAATTTTGACTTGGCAACCCTAGTTCAACACAATATGTCCTTCACATGCATATGGCAACATTCTCCAGCCAGGTGATGCCATGGCTCTAAAGCCCTGTTCACAGACTACAGTCAGCCCATGTACATCCTGCATGTACATGTGTACATCTATTTGTAAGGAACAGCCAACACATACTGACTTTGCAATTGAAACCAGGGACTAGTATCTGCATAAATGTGGGGCTTAAATAACATGTTTAGAGATACATGCATTGAATGTAACATGAGAATTACTCAACAAACTTATAAAGAAAAATCAAGTGTATACTACACATGGATTGCATATGAGTCTGTCACTTGTGAACAGGGCTCATTTGGGATAGATTAGTGATGCCTTTCAACTCAGCTAAATGGAACTCAGCTGGAAATGTGGTAATTAGCTTCTCATGAGAACCTACAGCCCATAGGATGGGAGGGGAGTAGGGTTGCCAAGTCGAATCTTCTTACCGGCGGGGGAGCATTGCCGGGCTCCGGGAGCTCTCTTCCTATGTGCGCACACCGCCAGCACGTCCCAGAAGTGATGCGCGACATCGATCACGTTGGGGACGTGGCCCCGATCATTGGAGGGAACACCATAGAGTTTTCCCTCCGACGATCGAGGCCACGCCCCCAACGTGATCGATGTGGTTGCATCACCTCTGGTACGCAGCCACGTTGCGCTTCAGGGGGTGGAGTTCCCCCTGGGGCCCGATTCCGCGACGGCGGAAATCGGGCCTCCAAAGCGGGGGTTTACCCACCCCCCGCCCCCACTTGGCAGCCCTAGGGGGGAGGAATCACGAGTGATGGTGAGGTAATTTTCTAGAGGGTTCCAGTAAGAGCGTGTCCTGATTGGGTGTCATTATCACCTGATGCTGCTTGGCCAAAAAACTATAATTGAGCTAAGAAAAGGAGGCTAGCTTGGATTCTGATGCCCTGAAGGCCTGGACTATGATAGTTTTATACTGCAATAGACGGCAACATAAAGAATGCATAAGCTATGGCTTTTGACTCTTGGACTTAAGGTCTGTGCCATCTAATGCAGGTCCTGGAAATGTGTTCGATAATTAAGCTAGTTTTCTTTTCTTTTTTTGCTGTGTGACTTTAGTGTATCGTGTTGCCTGTAAATTAAACCTTTGGTTTTGACAGAAATTAAATAAAGTTTTACGTAATTTTAAAATAAAAAGCAAAGTTTAGTCATTTGTGTACAACAGCCCTGGGGACCCACTGGCTCGGGTTGGTACTTGTCAAAGAGTCCAAGACTGAACGTCTTGGACTCTTTGACAAGTACCAAGCAGAGCCACATTTGGCTCCCGAGTCCCAGGCTGTAGATCCCTGTCTTAGTCACCCTCCTTCAGGCGAGTTGTGAGATTTAAATAGGAAACCCTAATGTATCCTGCCTTGGCCACTCAATGGGAAGGACAAGAATTCCTACTGTGGTATCACTCCTGTAATAGAATAAGGGCAGGCTGAATGCAGAATAATCAATCCTCTTAGGCACACCATTAGTCTTTGATTTGGATACAAAGTCATAGGCAGCGTGCTGGGAAAAAGCCTACAAAACCCTGCTTATCGGGGTTTATGGGTTAATCGGACAGGAGATAATGTCTGCTGACCCCATTCCACCTAAGCACAAACAATCTGCCTCGAAATTATGGGGGAGGGAAGGAACAGAAAGCCAGTTTGAGGCCAACCGACGTGAGTGAGAATGGCGCTTCCCAACAGTCCCAGTTTTAATGCACTTTCCATTTCCCCGCTGACAATGATTAGTCCTGATAGTTAAAGCGCAGTGAGCAAAACTGCATGTGGTTGTGGCACAGATTCCAAGCATAGCTGGAGATGGAGGTAGCTGCACTGGCTCACGGGGGGGTGGGTGGGGGTGGGGGGGAACCCTGAACAAAAATCATGCGTAAGGACCAATCAAATGATCACAAAACAAGTGTGCAAGTTTTTGAGTCTCAGTTCCATCAGCAGCTTGATGCTGAAGCAAATCCTTGGCTGCTGCAAAATGTTCACAGGATTGAGCTGACCTATGCTGAGACCGGATATGGAAGATATGATGAGAATGTGGTGGAACAGTCAGGGAAACGCTTGGCAAAGCTCTGAGAAGTGACATTTTGAAGAACAGCATTGGGACACGTGAACTGGGACAAGCCGAAGAGCAAGGCCTCAAGTGGCCCTCAAAGCTAGTAGCATGAAGAGGACCCAGAAGTCCTGCTAAACGTTTCTTTTTTTAAAAAAGAGTCTCTCCTTCCATAGAGATTTTTTGTTTATTTACTTCTGTAAAACATTTTTTATGCTACCTTTCTACCAGATCAGGGTCTCCAAAGTGGCGAACATGGAAACATTAATTAAAAACATTTATAAAATAATTCAGTAAAAACACATAAACATGCAATACCGGATTTTGGTACTGGGCAAGCTGGTTTTGGGACAGTCCGACTGGTGCCATTCATAGTGGCCTTCTGTTGCAAATTGGAAAGACCAGTTTCCCCTGAGATCAGCCCTGGACAGGGAACTGTACACTGGTACACCATGCACTATATGCACTTCCACGGAACATCTCTCTACTCCATAAATTGTACAAGTCTTTTTAGACACACGGCTGATTACTTGGGCGGTGATTTATTTTTTGAGCACCATCCTTGTTTCCTCCATCAATCCTGGGATGATGCTACTTTTGAAATGAATGAAAAGTAAAGGCGAGATCGGTTTGAAAAGGCACTGATGTAATCAAATCACCTCTACCACCAGAGGGGGGAAAATGATTAACTTTGCGCAATAAAACGCTGAGTGACTGAACTGTGCACAGGGGTATTAGATGGCGAACGAGACCAAACATGAAAAATAAAGCATGCCCTGATGGGAAGGAAAACAAAAAAAACCCAAATCTGCTGGCGGTAACTCGGTTTAAGCAGATTTTTAATTAAGCTACAGGCTGATTCTGTTTGTTCTGGAGTACAAAAGAGCCACTGTTCACAGCGGCCGTGTAGTAAGAGCACTTTAGCTCCCCGAGAATAGCTTTTCTGAAGCCAAGGGAGGCTGTTGTGTGCAAGAAACTCCCCCCCCCCATATGCTCAATTTATATGCTCATAAACACAGTTCAGGCATGAAAAATTCTTATTAATTACCGTTATCATTATTTTATTTACTATTTATTTTTATTTGTATCCTGCTCGCTCCCACTAATTCAGTCTGCTTTATGACAGTCTGTTATAGAATCTTCATGCAGATCTGAAAGCCGAAGTTATGCGACCAGTACAGTGTAGATAACGGATACTCTGTCATCGTGCATAAATCTGCAACCATCTGCCACAAGGAGATGTACATTCCTTATGATGTGTCTTGTTAGGACGATGCGGAACATCACACTTTGTCTCATTGTTCAGGTAATTAGCGGGCCAATTAATGACCAGCACAGCCTTTCTCAGTCTGCCGGCTTCAGACTCCAAACGAACCAAACCCCCATCAACTAGAAAAGAAGGAACTGGGAGGAAGGATCCCGTCTCTCCCTGCTCGCAGATCCAAGCTCTGAGTCAAGACATGCGTTTTGGTCTACTTACAATTGCTGTCGGAGTTGCAGACAGCACGCAGTAGAGGACCAGCGGGGAAATGAAGCTTTCATCCTCTGTTCCTGGGTAAGGTTTCATCAGATCTCCATCCTGGCAAAAGAAGCCCTGGACGTGCACCTGGAACGTGTCCGTGCACTCGAAGTAGTAGGCGAGCAGTACGGTCCCGGCCATAATGACGAGCTGAAAATACAGCATGGTTGCACAGAAACATTAGCAGCTGTTCAGCAGTTGTGCCTGCCAGCCACTCTGTGACGGGCACCTTCCATTATTGCCACCACCCCGACAGCGATCCTGATGTTAGGCAGCACTCAGAGTGTCTCTGCTCAGTAACATCTGTTACATAAACCTTTGGACAACCCCCCCCCACTCCCCCTCCCCATGAAAGTCTCTGATCAAATTAGGTCCTCAGCAAAAGGGACAGGAGTTTCAGTCTCCGCTTTGTCACAGGCATGCGGTTGTCACCGGCAGCATGGGTCAATGTGGATGGAATGGGATGGCTGGGAGGGTGGGATGGGGGAATTTACCAGCTTTTTTTAAAAAAAGAACAAAACAAGCAACCAGACTGGAATTTTTATTTCCCCAAGAGAGAGCAGTGTGAGGAAGAGAAAGACAAACAGGGCACCCAACACAAATCCAGGCAAGACTGACTCAGCGATGCACACAAATATAGCCGAAATGGGAATTTCTCAGAGAGGGCAGACAGACTGGGACCCTAAAACATTCTCCACTATTGTCTTCCTACCCACCAGCAGCAGGAAGGATTCTACCTCTCATTTCTGAGTGCTGCTGTAACGGGTAGAGGACGTGGTGCCTGTACAAGAGACTACTCGGAGGTGATGACCGAGATGCCAGGCCTGGAGCACCGTGCAGGTTTGCCACTCCAATGGACGGCACAACTTCAAAATCTCTGTACCTGTGTTGGATTCTGCTACCCATTCAACAGGTGTATGCCTCCAGGACACTGCAGCAGGGGCCGCAGCTTTTCTGCCTCCTGACCTCCTCCTGCAAGGGCACCACATCCCTGTCCGCCTTCAGATGTCCTTAGTAGTGGAAGCTGGAATTCTCTCTGTGTTCACATGAACCCTGCTGCCACTCACTTTCTATCACTCTCTCCAGGGCTTTTTTTGTAGAAAAAGCACAGCATAATAGGCTACACCCAACAGCAGGAATCATTAGCATAACAGGCCACACCCAACCGCAGGAATACATTAGCATATTAGGCCACACCCCTGACAACACAGCTCATTAGCATATCAGGCCACACCCCACATGTTACCAGAAGTGTAGTCATCCAACCACACCCACCTTTTGCTTCTTATTCTGTTTACTTTGTTGTCAAAACCCAGGGCTTTTTTGTAGCAGGAACTCCTTTGCATGTTAGGCCACACACCCCTAATGTAGCCAATCCTAATGAGTTTCTGCTGTTGGGTGTGGCCTATTATGCTAATGAGTTCCTGCTGGGCGTGGCCAACTCAGGAGCCATCCGGAACTCCGTTCCTGTGCGTTCCTGCCCAAAAATAGCCCTGACTCTCTCCAGCTTTTGTCCTACTTCATTATCTTGCAGTACCTGTTCTAGTGGCAATATGTGATATGTCTTATTTTCAACTGTGACATGTCACGTCCTTGTACAAACACTTGTGGAAATGCTCAGGAGAAGGCCACCACGGGGCCAGCAAAGGTCGATCTATCTGCAATGGGTTCTCCCCATCCCCATAACAGCAATGTTCACATTCAGATGCATCCTAGGAACTCTCTGGGGGCTGTTCTTTCAGCACCATCCTGGGAACCTTCATATGATTTTTTTCTTTTTGGACATGGGAACAAAATATCTTGGTACTGGGAAGGCAGCAACATTTACCCAATGACGCTGCTGTGAATGAGGGATCATTTTTCATCCTTGTTTGTTTCAACCCCAAAATCCTCACTCCTATTTTGCGTCTTCCTTGTGTGAATTGAACTCTAGTGTCTTAACTGTGACCACAACCAACAAAAAGGAGAGCAGGTCCTTAATACAAGCAAAAAACAATAAAAAGTGGCAAGGAAAGATCTTATTTAATGTATCTTTCTGTCAGCAAGCTGCCATTCTGTTTTCTGTGACCTCTGTGTACATATGTTTTCCCTGTTGCACCCGGCTTGGTTTCTATCATCCTACTCCTGCGTTGGAATGCAAAAGATAACTGCTGGAGGTTGTGTGGGGGAGAAGATGCTGTAATGCTTGGCTATTGCTTTTCCCATGACTACTGCACCTGTGTTATGTCTAATATCCTGCCTGGTTCCCATGGACTGGGCGCGCAACCGTTCCATTAGCCCGCCAGCGGGAAAGTTATTCATTGGACCTGTATCTCTTTGAAGTTCCTTTATTATGCTTGATCTAACTGTGTATCCCCAGTTCTAACAAAGAACGTGTTTGAGTATGTCTTCAACGCTTTGAAATAAATTTTGCTTTTCTCTAAAACGTGGATTTATTCTCGATGCTTGGGGATCCAACACTTTCCTTGGTCCTTTTTCTTGTTTTTGTACTTTTTTGGATTTTGAGCTACTTTCTGTTTCTGGCCCCAGCAAATTTCCCCCTGCAAAATTTAACATTGGCATGTATCCAAGCACATATTTCCTCCAACAGGATGGTGTTTCTGTTTGTAGAAGAGGGACCATAGACTTCCACTGATCCCCTTTCCCACTGACCATAGCAGAATAGGCTGTAATACAAATTCAGGTGAGGAGAGGGAATGCATTCTCCTGAACAAATTTCACATCAGCAAAGCTGTTTACAAATCCTGACTCACGTAATCTCAAGAGACACAATTAATCTGCTCCTTGTCCTTCCCAAGTCCAGGAAGAATTGAAATCCTCACACTATGATTAAACCAGAAGGGGATACAGCTGTCTGACTGGGATACTTACCAGTGCAATCCCAAGCAAAGTTACATCCTTCTAAGCAGGATGACTGCAAAGGATTTAGAAGCATGTAACTCTGTTTAGAACTGCATTGTCAGTAATAAAATCAGATATCTCTCCTTCCTGGGTGATCAAGTTGATAGTCTAATTCAAGGTACTGATCTGAAACGACAGTCTTATATTAGGGACCCGAATGACCTCTTTGATTTGATCAGATAAATTTTTGTGGAGTTTGGGATTAATGCATTTTCTTATTGATATAGTATAATAATGCTGATTTTTTTAAATACTTGCCCAAATGGGCAAAGTTTATTAGTTTTTTTTAAGGATTACACAAAACAAAAGATAGAGCAATACATTTTTAAAATATCTAGACATTGTCTCCCTCACAACATCTTTAGATACATAGTTCCTTTTTCCTCCTTTTTAAACTTTATATTCCACAACCAATATCATTCATCAAAATTCTATTCCCAATATATAGTTCGTTTTTCTATACCCTATCTGCTATATTTCATTTTATCTATGCTACCCTATTATTAATCAGTTTTATAATCATAAAAATAGAAAGGGAAAGGAACAGGTGTTTCAACAGTTTAACAGTTCTAATTTGGGCACAATAATGCTGATTTTTTAAAAACTCTGACTTTAGTCCCACTCTTGCCCCTGGGAACACAGGGCAGCTTATAGCTTAACCAAGTGAGGCAGGTTAGACAAGGAGACAAGGACTGGTCAAAGGTTACCCAGTGGATTTCATGGCCGAGTTGGCATCTGAACCAGCTCTCTCTGATACCTCAGTCGCTATACCAAACTGGCTTTCTGCTAGTAGTATACCCAAACCCCAGAATACATTTCTGGAATCTGAAACCAATCGGCACAGAAGAGTCCCATATGATAAGGTGGCACTATCCCACTGAGGACTGCGCCATATTAAAATTAATGCAACACCCAGTCCCTAGAACTAGTGTAAAGAACCAGCACAAATAGTAAAACAGAAGTGGAAAGGGTCCCACTGCCCTCAAGTGGAAGAAAATGAGAACACACACAAACTAAAGCCCTGATCATTCCCACCTTAATGCAAGGCATTATGATGAACGCGTTTCCTTGCTCCTGTTTAAAAATTGAACAAACACTGTCCACTCTTTCATTACGCGCAACTCAGCTTTGCTTCTTTACCCAACCGGCAGTATGCGAATCATCAACATGGAAAACTAAGAAATGGCTTCCAGTGGGGATCCCTGCTAGCAAAGAGATCAGAAGGAGATACTATAGAAGTCGGGGCCGGTGAGAAACTGCATGGTGAATAAATGGTTGGGAACTTCCCCTCTCTTGACCGAAATCTCTTTTTCCAGGCTGCTATAAACTTTCAAGGGCTTGAGCACTCCAATTCTCCCCATCTCAATTGCTGACAAGATTCCATGCCTCCTGTAGCATGCTCAGTCCTCAGAAAGATTTTTTCTCTCTTTTCGTTTTGATGAGTGTTCTTTTAAAATGTACAATAACAATTGATTGGCACAGTAGAAAAGTGAACAAAAATAATATACACAAGAAAGGGGACCCGCGAAAATCGCGGGGGGGAGAAGCGGGAGAGCTCCATGCAGAGCACGTGGAGGAGGCCTCGCTGATTCCCCCCTCCCTGCTCACCGCTCACCTTCCAAGCGGCAGCGGCATTCGCAGAGCATTCCCTGCGCATGCGCAGGGGACGCTCTGTGAGTTTTGGGGGGATTTAAACATCCCCCCCGATTTTTTTTTGCAGATTTAGGATTTTTGTGCACACGTGGGGACCGCTCCACTTGCGCACGAACCTCTCCCTCCCCCCCCAGGTCCCCCTGATGTGCGGATTTAAGCATCCGCACACCAGGGGGCGACTTGAGAATTAGATATATAGATAATCATAGAAAAATATATTGACGGTAATCTCCGGAATGTCTTGGCGTTTTGAAGGAAGATCTTCTTCTGAACAAAGATGTGGGACAAAAACTGTCTCTCAATAGTTCATATCCTCTGGTGACGTCTCACAATTATCAAAGAAGATTTTCAATAATTATAACAGCTGTAATGTATAGTAGAACCGGCAAATTCTACTATACATTACAGCTGTTATGATTATTGAAAATCTTCTTTGATAATTGTGAGATGTCACCAGAGGATATGAACTATTGAGAGACAGTTTTTGTCCCACATCTTTGTTCAGAAGAAGATCTTCCTTTGAAACGGCAAGACATTCCAGAAATCACCGTCAATATATTTTTCTATGATTATGTATATTATTTTTGTTCACTTTT